TTTTTACACAGATTAAAGCAAATTTAGATACTCGAAACCGATACCAAGCGATTCACCCACAAATCCAATCGATGGCAGATGAAGTTGCTTGAAACTATGTAGAGTAAAACGGTACTTCTTGGTCCACTGGCCTTGTGAAAGGTGCCTGAATAATGCAGAAAACCAATGTCTCATGACTGGATTGAGTTCACTGCTGCTGCTGAACTACGGTTGAGATACACTTGTACCAATAACCTCAGTTACATAGTTTGGCCAGTAGTTTAACCAATGTGGCATTTTTCAGGGAGGAATGAAAAAGAAACAGCTTTACTACGGCACACCAACAATTTCACTCTCAGAGGCCTCTGTCAAGTCTCCCCCTCTCTTTTTCTGGCCGAGACATCCTCTGTGTAGGTACGTACCTGTATTGCAGTGCAAGCCTGAGGGCTGTAGCATTGGACTCATATTTCCCAACAAGCATGCTCATCCTCTCAGCATTGCTCTTGCATTCCTCCAGTGTTATGGTTAACAAGTCATTCTGGGATTTCAAGTGCTCAATACGGCTGTAGAAAAAGAAATCATTTACAACCTTCAAGTATAGCGTGCGGACACTGTCTTGAAAACTCTAAAACAACAATAATTTAAAACAAAGATGACAATTTGGTCTAGGCATTTTTTTTTAAAATGACTACAGCAAAATCCGACTGTTCCATATCCCGTAGCAAGAGCCAAGGCGATACTCATTTCTGTAGGAAAGCCCACTTCCTTCTCCTCCTCTCCTTCCCATTAAATGCAATCAATATAACGTTTCGCTGTGAAAGAGCAGCAATTACAAAGCCCTAGTCGTCTTTTGCAGCCACAAGAATGTATGGGGCAGTTATCTTAATTTTTCGCTTTATCTTTCTGCTTCCATTCCTCCCTACCTGCTGCCACATTTGCTTAAGTGGCACATTCATTAGCAGAACGCGTGGGTGTGTGGAGTGATCATACAGCTGCATAAATGCCTCCTCTCCTTGGAGCATCCAGAATAACGGTTTCACGTAAAGTAATATTTTAGTCATGATTACAGAGGCAACTTCCAAAACATGAACTGAGTTTCAGTGATGCAATGAAATCTCCAACAATTCTGGCAATGGTCAAACAACAGCTCATATCAGAACTTAACTGCAATATTCTTCTCAGTGAGGTTAACTCTAAATCCGAAAATAAAGCTTCAAAATATCAGTATCACTGACTATTAGCATTGCTGATAACTGCAACACACACTAATGGACTCTATCTAATCATCAGAGTTGGACATACAGTGAGAGCAAGCAGGTAAATGATTTCACAGTCCAGACGGTAACCAACAAAGAAGTCAATACCATCCTCCACAACTCTAAAATCACTAACTTCTTGACGAACACAAGAAAAAAAGACAAGGGCTTGTATACCACTTCTTCAGCGATCCAAACGAAACCTGACCTTCCTAGGTGCTACACTCACAGCCGCTTCAACCTCCTGCCTCCTCTTTGATACCTCACATAAGGATACACGCTGTCAATGCAAAATTGTGCAGGGCACAGAGAGAAAAAAGATCACATTTTGCAGTACTACAAAAACATGAGCTACAAATAAGGAGATATCGTATTGATTAGACTAAACTTGAGATAGTAGTGGGGAAGAGAGAACTTGGAAGCATGCTCAGACACAGCTCTCAAGTTCCTGATCCACAGTTTTGATCCTGTGTGCTAAACAGGGCATGAAGCTTTGCCTAAGGCGGAGCTTATTCAGCAATTAACAGCAGTATTTTAACTGCAACCTTTCTGCAGCTGCCAGAAGTCTAACTGTATGTATTCCACACCAACACATATCAGTGTACACTGATACAGTTAATGCTATAATTCTGTTTCTCTAAGAGAAAAAAAAAAGTGAGCTAATTCTAGAATGATGAAGAGTAAGTTATAGGAATCCTTATTTCTAGCACTGTGTTTTACGCATGTCTACTTGGTTAGCCATAGCAAAGGATACTCCACAGTGCAGATGATGGTGCCACGCTTGTTTAATAATACACAACCAAATTGTCATACTGATGGAAAAGAATCCTTAGCGTATTGCCTCAATCACCTGTTTCTCAACTCCATTTTACGTTTATTTGCAGCTGTCAGAGTTGAGCTGAGACTCAACCATGAAACGTACAAAAAGTAGTAACTTCAACAAAGCTAACAGCAGACAACATATTTGAGCATATCTAATTTTTCACCTTACCTATTTAATCTCTCTGTCTCCACTTCAAACTCTCGGATTTTACTTTCAGAGATAGCAGATCCATGTGAATACAGAGTTTGGAAGATTTCTTGGATATTTGAGCAGTCTTGGAGGGAATGCGCCAAGTGTTCAGCCACGCTGCTGGACACCTGCACAGGATAATTAATAGATCATTGTGAATGGATAGCAACTGGATCCTCCCACAGATTGCCTGGACTGACAGCTGGGTTTGCTTGGGTGTATTCACTTCAAGATATTCATTATTCAGTTTTCTCTATGAATTTTAAAGAGAATAGGACATTTACAAGTCTCTCCTTTAAGAAGTTACTTTGACTCAAAATTCTAGCTGACCAAAGGCTGAAGTCCACCATAGATTTAAATAGGTTAATAGGCAAGTTATTTACCTCCTTGAAAGCTAAGCAAAAGGTCAGACCCAAGATCTTCTTTCAGTGAAATAAATATTAACCTACAGTAGCAACCTTGTGTTTACTAAACTTACACTGGCACGTCAGAGCAGAATGAAGTTCTCTGTTAATTAAGAAATTGTGGAATGCAACTGAAAAGCCTTTGCTCGGTGAGTAATATTGACTGTTTATTATCTCCTTAAAGTCATTCAGGATATGACTTCTAGCCACCGTGAAATCTTAACGCTGTTAATACTTATACTCTGTTGAAATATTTTTCTCAAAATAGCTGCTAAAGTATTTTCAGTTAGCTCACATCTTTAGAAAAACAATGCTGCTTTTAATGGACACAAGTCATATTTAGAAGGTACCACGCATGCACATGCTTATTAGTCCTTACTCCTATGCTGCTGATTTCTGATCCTAGGACAGGTCTGTCAGACGATGAAGACTCTGATCTTGTCTTTGACAACTTCACTCTTTCAGCAATCTAGAAGTCAGAATGCTGCACAAGTTAAACAGGACCCCACACTCCTTATATATTATGCAAAATACATCATAATTTTTTCACTGGCTAGTTTTGGAAACCATAAGTAAATTGCTATAGATTGACATCTGTGTTGTAACTGAGAGACTTAAAATCATTTAAGTCAGGTCAAGTTCATGGGCCTGCTTATGACCCCAGAAAACTCTCCTGGGATTCTACGTGATATTTCCCAAATAATCACATGCCTACACAGCAGCTGTGCCAAATGAAACCCACTTCTCCCAGATAATAAGCTGCATTTCTGCGATACACAATAGCTTACCTTGGCTATAGGAATATCATTGCTACTGCTGCTTGTGCTCAGCTCTCCAGTACTAGGGTTAACGGGTCGATTTGCAGAAGTGAGACGACTTGGGCTGGATGGACCTGTTGCCTGCACGCTTTGTAAACGTGTTTGCAGTTCCCGAACCTATAATAAAATGTAATATTCTGTTTTTGCATTTTTATGATTTAAATATTTCAGAGATTTTCTCACTGTCTCATCAAACCCAATTGCTTCTGGCTTGAGTACAGAACCTGCATTTTGCCCTGTGGCAAAATATGCATACTATATGCATTTAAAATATTTGGGGGGGGGGGGGGGAAGCTAATGCTCTAGCCAAAGATTATGATGCCTAAATAAAACAGATGAAGCTCCTATTCTTCATGGAAAGCTCCAATGCTGAAGAAACGCTTGACATAAAAATATCATAGGATGACTTCATCATATTTAAAGGTCAAAGAAATTGAAATGTTAATCATGCTTTCAAAACTACAGTTAAGTAGAGCCACCAAAAAGTGAGTAATGTATGGACAACAAAACACTAGGAAAGTGCCCAGCTAAGTTTGCAGAAGGTCTCTCTAAGCACATACTGCAAAATGCTGCACTGTCCTCGTAACACATCAAATTCTTGTAGAACTGATATCAAAAGAGCTCCAGAACTAGAAGGTTTTTTTTAAAAAAAAAAAAAAAGCCTGCAGGAGCCAAAAGGCATTGCTGAGTATGCAATTATAGTGTGTACCTTGGAATAATTCCTAATAAACACAGAATAAATTGTCTGCTTAACACCACAGTTATGCCACAAGGGAAAGCGACAGAGCTCGTTTTTTCCCCACAGAACTAGCGTCCTGGTTTCAAACAAAGAGTATGAGGAGAGAGAAGGCAGAGGGAACCATTCGAAGGGGAAACATCCCGGAATGCTGTAATGTCCATCTTAACATGAAAGTTTCTGTGTGGGTTCAGAACTGCTGAAACTTTACCAAAAGTCCAGTGAAACGAGAACAGAGTTCAGCTCGCTTGATAACCACTTGTAGGATGAAATGCAACTGTGATACCTAGTGTACAGAACAAAGTGGGATCTCATACTAAAGAGAGATCTCATACTAAGAACCGATTAAGCAAACCGAAACCCTCAGTGAGAAAATACCAAAATTAAAGATGCATTAAAGCTTTGGGCCTTGCTCAGCTATAAGCTCAATAAGCGCACTGTTAGTGCTCTGGAGATCAGTGCTTGAAGAAGTGGCAGTCAGGATGTTCCCTGCACAACGTAGACAGATCCCTTCAATGTATGGCACTGAGGCAGGAGCTCAGGCTCAAACTCTTCCCTCTCCCCAGAGCAGTATCTTATGACCCTTACAAACCCCTACAGTCCGCTTCTACTTCCCTGGAGACTCCTCCGGCTTCTGCTTCAGATTTTATGCACACTGAGGATAGGGTTGCCTGAAGACTTACTGTCAAGTATCAGAATTTGTAGGCAGGTGCTAAAAAAACTCCATGCTTTACAAAATAAAGCATAACAATTGTGCATTACTATACAAGGTTGTAGATAACAACAATAAGAGCACAAAAAAGCTAACGACATTCACTTCCCTGTTTAGTCATGGCAGAGTGCTACACCTTAAACAAAGTGAGGCCAAACATTTCCCTCGGTCTCCCGGTTACAAAAAGTAGCACACAAAACCTCTAAACTGAATCCCTAGTGTTTAAAGTAACTTACTGAAAAATGGATGTGGGCATTTGCCCCAGAATTATACATCTTTTTAAGTGTAATTCCATCATAAAGTTAATGTGAGCAGCTGTGTGTAAAGTACATTCATAGAATGTATCTTCTAGATATTTACAGCTGAGGCCTCCTTTATATCCCTTTGCCCAGATGAGATTTCCCACACAGATACAGCTGCACCAAAGCAAACCTTAAAGACAGAAGTGCTGCACTGATGCGAAACAATCATTTTAACCTACTGATAAGTCTAAAACCGAAATAAACCATGTATGCACATTGCTGCTCGCAGATGTGGTGTGCAAGCGTAGACAGGATTTGTATTGCTGCATTAACACCAGGGGGAAAAAAACAACTGTTTTTTCTTAAATTCAGATCAACATTTATTACTATTTCTTTAACCCAGGCTGTCAATATAAAAAAAAAAATAAATTCCCCAAGTGCTTAAGTTACAGCATTGTTGAAAAGCAAACAAAGAGAAAAACCACTAAGGATTTATTCATGAGAAAATCAAATCCTGCCTTAACGTCCAACTTTAAAAATTGCTAAAATGCTCACCTACGCCCACAAGCCAGTACTGAAAGAGTTCAGCCCAAAAGTGAGTTACATTGCAAAGTTAAGGGCAATCAAGAAAGAGCATGTTAAAATTGTTTAAAACGCTGTGCATTCCTTTGCTCCCAATTTTAAAACCACCTAACGTAAGGACAATATTACATAAAAGTTTAACACTAATAGGTTTTCTTTGGTCTATGTTTTATTACTGAGCAGTGATTAGTAGCCACAATTACAAAACCAATTATTCTTAAGGGTTCGTAAAATAACATTCACAATGGAAAGCAAAATCAACCTAAGACCACAGCCAGAAAAAGTTTTGCTCAGAAAAGCATTTATAAAAGAAAACTCAAAGCACAGCACAGTTAGCAATCTATGCTAGTCACTGCTTTAATACTGTACCACAGAAGCAACCAAACTTAAAAAAGCATTAATAAGCTCTCTGTTTTCTTGATGTGTTTACAAATTCAGTCCTTCATTTGAGAAACTGCGCGCCGCGTTAAGTGCTATTAATTACTGCATTAACTTCAGTAGCAGTAAGTACTGGATGGTAATTCTGAGCAGAATAACAGAACAAGTTTGTCTTACCTGTGGAATCACTGAACTCAAACTTCGCACATTCACCAAGGCAGAATCAGGAACCAACTGGGTTGCCCAGCTACCCGACTGCCCTGAGACAACTCAGGTAACTATTTCTGGTCACTAGCACTTCCTTCACCAATAGAGCAGTATGCACTATCTCCTCAGAAAGTACTTTTCCAAACTAACAGTAATTCTAAAGGAAAAATAAAGGAAGACCAAAGAAAAGGAATTCAGGAAAAAATATTTAGAAGAGGTGGCTTCTCTGTATTGGTGAATGCACGGGCTTCCTTTATTTTGAGATCAGTGACTGTACAAGCTTGTTCTGTTATCCTGCTCAGGATTATGTTTACCAGTAGAAAGAAGATGATTACAGCACTGTACATGAGAAACAGTAAGTATTTAGAAATAGGAGAGAGGGGACAGATAGATTGTTCAGGAATTGGAAAAAATTTGGCCAAATCCCATGGATGAAGAGAAAAAAAATCCCAAAGGTTCCGCTGAAAGATAGGGAGAAATGGATTTGTGAAGTAGTGAGGAATAGAGAGGAATGATTTAAAGAAAGATTTCCTCAGCCTGGGCCTCCTATTTAGTTCAAAGATAGGAACATCCAGCAGGATATCAACACTGCGGTCCTAAAACTCTACATGAGATAAAAAGTGGCAGACAAGTAGACCAAATTACAGAATCAGATAAAACAAGGCATAGGAGAGGGCTCAGAAGAATAAAGGAAACATCTGGGGAAACACCTGGAAAGACAACATTAAAGAAAGGAAAGAGCAAAGATCTTTTATATGGCTGGAGGAAGCCAGAAGAATTATGGAAATCCCAGAAGTAATGAAGTGCTGGATCCTGGGAAACAGCAACAGCAGGGGGATTAAGTGATACACAGGCCAATACAGCCAAGAGACTTGAGAGCAATGGATATCCTTTTTCTGTGGATATCCTTTTTCTTTCACTTTTGGTACTGTGAAAGTCAGATGCAAACAGACGTTCTAAAGTAACTAAAACAACATAAAACTTCATAATTTCACATTTTATTTATTAATATTTGATGTTTAGCAACATGCACCAATTCTTTAGTTGCATTTCTTATTTTTTCCTTGAAAATTGAGAATCGGACTAGAAAACCAGAAAAAAAGCATTTCTTCAGGGTGCCTTAAGAAATGAATGAAAAGACAGCTAGGGTAGGAAAAAAAAACACCCGACAAACTACAGTACTGTTGGATTTATAAAGGACGGTGTAGGTGATTAACAGGCACCACGGACATGTCTGCAGACACCAACAGTGAGTTATAGAAAAACACTTTAGTGGAAGACACTCCAGTTATCTCTAATCATAAATCCAAGAAACATATTGATCCATTTTACTCTTTGTACTTTACGCGCGCGTACTCACAACTACACAATTTAATAACATACTCGCAATAAAAAGAACGCACCATTACAAACTCCCTGCTTTTATCGCTGATTTCCACTTTCAAAGGACACCTGCTGCTTTTGCTCTTAACCCGTTCTGAAACAAAGGCCATGCCTACGATGCTTTTCTTTCTACCTTGCGACCTCTTTTATCATGCAGTATCTTTTAACTCTTTAAGTAATGAAGCATTTTTTCAGCATTTTAATACCACTTCCAAATTGTTTTTGTTAAAGAGGAGGAAGATGAAGTACAACAAAGTACTGGTCGTGAATATACTTCTCCCACTTTCTATTTTATTTACGCATGCTGCGAATCTGTGAGGGAGAAGGTGGAAAACGAGCCACGGACGTGGTAATTCAGGTGAATTACCGGAGCCAGCGGCAAGGGCCCTTCTCGGCTTCTGAGCACTGATAAGCTTTCCATCAGGCCTCCCACTGATTCTTTTCAGTTGAACGTAACCTCTCCCAAACGTTTAAACAATCATGAGCACCAGGGCTAACGAGGCCTGATTTCCTAAAGATTGTCTGTTGTGGTTGACTGAGCACGCCGGGCCTTGAACCGCCTACGCTCTGATGGAAGGCTTTTCTGGTACTTATAAGGGCCTGTCTCCTCAGTGAATGCTCTGAATCAGCTCAGGTCGGTAGTCATTCCTTCAATTAAGGCATTCAGAGAATCTCTCCCCTCTACCCAGATGTGTGGTTTCAAGCAACTCAGAATCATTCAACTGTCTTTGGCAGCTCTGTTATTCGGACAGAACTGAAAATCAATCCACAGTTTGAAAAATTTTGACGGAGAGAGAAAGGGAACACCACACAGACACACATCAAGCTTTGGGAAAACAAGCATGCTATACAGATTTATATGTATGGGTTTGTAAGT